TGCTGGGAGCGGTTTTTGTCACCRCAGTCCCTCCGACAGCAGGGAGCTCCTCGTGCCCACTTGGTGGAATTGTGTTTCTCAACTCTGGGAAAGAGATTTCTCTGAGAAGTGGCTGCAGTTCAGTGGTGGATGAAATAATCTCTTTATATAAATTCGTTTGGAGACCTCGGGGGAAAGCGGCATAATATAATTGTAAGAATATATTTAATATTAAGGTTGATGTGAATTGTCTATTTTTTTTCATTTTAATTTTTTTTTCTATTTTGTGACAGTGATTGAAGTTTGGCATTTGCAAAATCCCCAGATTGGAATGGGGAGGTTGTTTAGAATATCAGGAACAAATTARGGGGGCCATTCTTGTTTRGAATATCCAGAACAAATTAGGGGGCTCATCTTTGTTTGGAATATCAGGAATAAATTAGGGGGGTCATTCTTGTTTAGGATATCAGAAGCAAATTAGAGGCCTAAGTCTTGTTTAGGATATCAGGAACAAATTAAGGGGGTCATCCTTCTTTAGAATATACAGAACAGATTAGGGGGGTCATCCTTGTTTAGGAAATCCGGAACAAATTAGGGGAGTCATTCTTGTTTGGGATATCAGGAGCAAATTAAGAGGGTCTTTCTTGTTTAGAATATCCAGAACAAATTAGGGGGTTATTCTTGTTTAGAGTACCAGGAACAAATTAGGGGAGTAATTCTCACTGGTTCGGTGCTTTGACTTCTTGCAGGACTATCAGCAATTGCAATTTTGCAAGAAATTGTGAAATACACCTGAAGCTCATCCTTTAATTCCGTAGGAATTAACCCATGGTGGGGAAGCCCCCATGGAAACCAGAATATTTTTATTTTCTTTTCCCCTTTCTATCAGGGCAGAGACAAAGCTTTTGGCAGTAGGACACGATGTTGGTGGCTTCTGATCTTAAAACTCAACCCTCGTTTGTACAGATGAAAAATAAATTCCATCGACTTTAAAATCCACTTTCCTGGATTAGGAAAATAAATGTTGTACCGCGAAGCCTCCCTTAAAAATCATAACTGGATGATTTGTTGGTCTGTGGGTTTTTCTATTAAAGAAAAAACCCATCAGGAGCTCGGGAAGCAGTATATATGTAAAGAGAAAATTTGTTAACTGCAGTGGGAAGATCTAACCCTGGGTCACCTGCAAATCTCTCAAACAAGAGCTCCAGGGCAAGTCCTAATTCCAGGGAGTAAAAGGGAAAATTAAAGCTGTGGCTGGCGACTCCTCCGAGTTACCCGGGGTGGATTCATTTGAGTTTCCATGATTGTGCTGGTGAGGGGAATGGGGAAGGGATGGGAGAGGTCTTCCCAGCCACTTCCCAGCCCAAGGATCTCCATGGAGACAGGGAAATAACCTGATGGTCTGTCAGAAGTTGCCTTTCATAACCAGAGGCGGTCATTAAATAGGAGATGGAGCAGGAGACAAACTTTGGCATTTTTAACCAACCTTGGGAAAAAAAAAAATCCTTTTGGATGTTGTGCTTTGTGAAGTGGTTTATCCAGGTTCCACTGGTGTTCTGTGGCCTGGGGAATCATCTGTTAATGGGACAGATTTATTGATCATTTTCCCCATTTATTGACATTTTCCCCCCATTTATTGATRATTTCCCCCTATTTATTGATACTTTTCTGTCCCATGCCATAGGGAAACCCAAAGGCTCAAAAATGTCAAATAGTGGAGGTAATTCTGCAAATCCAAACTGTTCCAGTTGCATTGGAAAAGGCTGGGAAAGCTCTGGAGCAGAGGGGTTCCATGATGAGCAGGCCAGGCTTGGGGATGTTCTGTTGCAGCTGAGGGAGAGATTTGGTGGTGAAAGGCAATAAAGGACTTTTCCGAGCTGGGAATGATCCCGGAATCACAGACTGGTTCAGCTGGGAAAGGGCCTTAAAGGCCATCCCATCCCAGTCTTACCACCTGTCCCAGGCTGCTCCAAGCCCTCATGTCCAACTGGCCTTTAAACGCTTCCACGGATCCAGGAGCAGCCACAGCTTCTCTGGGAATTCCAGCCCAGCCCCTCCCCACCCTCACAGCCAGGAATTCCTTCCCAATATCCCATCTATCCCTGCCGTCTGGCAGTGGGAAGCCATTCCCTGTGTCCTGTCCCTCCATCCTTTATCCCAAGTCCCTCTCCAGCTCTCCTGGAGCCTCTTTAGTCCCTGCAAGGGGCTCTGAGCTCTCCCTGGATCCTTCCCTTCTCCAGGGGAACATTCCCAGCTCTCCCAGCTTGGCTCCAGCCCTCAGAGCAGCACCATGACTTCCTCTGGATTTGCTCCAGCAGCTCCATGACCTTCTGGAGCCGTGTGGTCCCAGAGCTGGATGTGGGATGTTCTAACAAGAGCATCAAAGTGTGCCTTGATGCTCTCAAAACACGTCCTGCTTTTTTATTTTGTCTTCCTTCCACTCTGGGTTTTCAGTTGTGTCACTGCTGCCATTTCACTGTTTAAATTTCTTCCTCAAAAACATGAAATCACACCAGTGAGTCTCCTTCCCAACCCCCAGGGGTTTTGAGCCTTCCATGTGGGGTGGAAGCCCCCCAGATTCTCCAGCTCTCGAGCAGCAGCCGCTGTGCTTGGATCCCTCATGATGACCCTGCMTCCTCAACTTCTCCTCTCCCAGCAATGCACACAAACCTGGCACTTAGGGGAGAAGGAGAAGGGAAAACATTTCACAGGGAGTGTTTTTAAAGCTGTTCTGATGGCCAACAAAGCTGCTGCTCCCTCTGCCCTGACCTGTGGGYGAGAGGAGAACACCGAGCACAAATCCGCTGGCTTTGGTTGATGGACACCGAGGCTGCCCAGGAATGGGAGCTGGGAAAAAGTGAACACCGTGGTTTTACAGTGAAAAATCTTCCTCACA